GGCACATACTGCAGCAGAGTAAAATATATGTGTGATGTGTTGGATAATTTGTTTCATGTGTGTAAATGATTCTATCTCTGAATGAACAACTAATACATTTAATGTTCATATTTTTATAAACATTAAATGTTTATAAAAATATAATTATATTATAATTATATAAACATTTAAACGAAATACATTTAAATTTTGATTTATGTTTCATTTAATTAGAAATCCAGTTTTCTTGCTGTTCAATTTTTGTTCAATTTTTAATTCATGTAAGATGTGTGTGACAAAATCACCCTAGTTTTTTTTTATTATTATGTTAGTACCATGTTGTATTGACATTTGAACATGCTTACATTTTTACAAAACTTAGCGCCTCTGCTGTAATGGGTTATTTTGTAAGTATATTATAATATTTTTTTTCAATTTCAAGCCTTAATATATGATTAGGCCTTAGGTATCACATACCTTTCTTTGCATTTTAATAATTTTTAATTACTCAATACCTATGACACTTACAAATCTACTATCTAAATTTACTTACAAAACCTGTAGAAAAAATCGTGTGCTTTTAGAAATAACTCCCATTAAAATTAACCAAACTGAATGTACTTTTGAACTATGATAATTAGCCAATTACACAGTGACATGCAACATTTTTTAGAGAGAGCATTTGAGTTATGTCTGATATTACCTACAATAGGTACATGCAACTTCTTGTCTTGCCAAAAAATGGATTCAAAGGTGGTAAAAATTATATTTCAAAAAACTCAAAATTTTAAACCCGGATTTCAAATGAATAAAACATTTTTGGAATTTGTTTTTTTCCTCAACAGATTTTCTTAAAATTCCAATCAATATATAAAAAATTCAAGCAAATTGATGGTGGTCACTTCCACAGTTTTAGGAATTTGCCTGATGCTTACAAAAAAACTGCTCTTAAATGAATATGTATACTTTCAACTCAGACTTTCTCAGTCCTTCCGCTTAAAACCTCTTCACTCTATCACCTTTCTCTTTATTCTTTAACATTTTCCTTCTTCCAATATTCCATAGCAAGACTTTTATGAAATTCAAAAGAATTCCATAGCAAGAAATTTATGAAAAATAGCTTTTCTTTTTACCAGTTTTTTTTTATTATTTATTTTTTAAATTATCTAGTATTTGTTCAAAACATTATTTTCGCTATTTTTATTTTTATTTAAATAGCAGAAAAAAAAGAATTTTTTAAATTGTGCAGGCAAATTTAAAAATGACCATCCTGCCAGCACTTTATTCGTGAGCTAGCATTAAATTTCAAACAGAGAAGACTAGGGTGGGACAAATAAAAATGGGATTCTATATCCAGTCACTACTGATAAACAAACCACACAATCCTCTAATATTTTAATACTGAATTTAATGCTGCTGCCATTACTCATTAATGAGTTTTTGACACAGAAGTTATGGCAGCCATTACACTTGAGTTATTGGCAAGAAAGAGTTACAGCACTTTTTGTATTAAAAAATGCGAACAAAAAGTGTATGCAAATATCTAACTTATCTAAACTTTAAGTTATGTAATATTAAAACATATTAAATTTTATAGTTTTACTTTAAAACTAAATTGAGACAACATTTCCTTAATTTTGATTTATAGCATTTATTTGCTGTTTTAAAAAGTCTTTTGTTTAATAAATAGTTTTGAAAATTTCATTAAAAAATATGCCATAGTGGTCGAAGTGGTAAGGTCATAGTATCATTAAGTAAAATGCTGTGCTTCAAATCCTTGCATCCTCTTCCACTTTTTTTAAAATCTTTTTTGATATTTAAAACAAAAAACAAAACATTTTTGAAGTTCAACAGATATTTTACTTTTATAAAGTTTTACTTTGATTTAAAATCTTCTTTATTTTGATTTAAAGCATTTATTTGCCGTTTTATAAAATTCTTCTGTTTTTTGTTTTTTAAATAGTGTTAAAAATTGACAGTTAAGTGTGTCTTAGTGGTTGAAGTGGTTAGCTTCCTGTGCTTCTGAAGTACAATGTAAGTGTTCAAATCCTGCCGTTTATATATAAATTTTTTTTAATCTTTTCCAATTTTCTAAAATACAAATTAAATTATTTTTAAAGTTCTATTGTTGATATAATATACTATAACAAACAAAAAGATATAATATACTAGATAGAGATATAATATACTATAACAAATAAAAAGAAGTTTTTAAGAAGCTTAAAATTGCAATAAACATCAAAACATTTTTAGAAATTTTTTGCATACCTCAATTGAACATTAGTTGTTACTTCAAAACCAACATTTGACAAATTTTTATTTTTTACCACTTAATTGCAGTTCGCGCAACAACTACTGAAGCGCTTAAAATTTTGTTCTAAATTATTTTAAGCGTTTAAAAGTTGTTTTAAATTATTTTTTTATTCAAATTTTTAAAAGGCAGACAATATGTATAGTTTTTCTAAAGCTTACTAAAAAATTTTGAAGTATGGTGTAGGTATAGAAATGCTCAGTGTAGACTTACTAAGACCTTTTTTACAGGTCAGAAATGCTAGTCTAATATATATATATATATATTAGACTAGCAAGGTTCTTCAAAGAATAAATGTATAACAAATCTCTGTACATGTAGGAAACAATGAGTTAAATGAATGGATGTTTGTGGTGGTTGTCATGGAGAGGCTGGCAATAATGAAAATGCACATATAAATATTTTTTTTAATAAATGCTGCACTTGGTATTGCATTCTTTTAGTGAATATGATTACAGAAATCTTATGTTTATGACGTTTTTACTTTCTAGGGAAACATCTTGGTTGAAGTTATAAATGAAAATTGAACAGCATATTTAATGATTTAATTTTAAATTTTTCAAACTTTTTTTTTATTGTTTTACTCGATTTTAAATTTCTCAAACTTTTTTTTTATTGTTTCGATTTATACTGTGCTGCTTAGTGCTGTACTGCATACTTCATTATACTTTAATGAATAGACTCAAAGTAGCTTGTAATACTTGAAAGGAAGTAATTTTCAAAATGTGTTTTTTTTTAACATATATTTATTAATAAGCCTTAAATTATCTTTTCAACGGTGTATTATAAGCGCATTTTCATTGAATTGAAAAAGCAAATGATCAATGAATTATATGCAAACTGCAACCTTTAATATCAAGCAGGAATAGTAACTCAGACCTAAAACACTGGTCATTAAGAAGATCTAGATAATTCCAGTTGTTATTTGGCCCATCCATCGAGAGTTTAAGCAAGTTTTTTTGTCAGTAATTCTTTTAATGTTTCATTTCTTTTTGTGGTTAAATTTTCAGCATAAGATCATTTTATTTTAGGTCCAAAAAGTTTGAATAAAACATAATCATTCCAATAATGAATTAGAAGATCCATTTGTTGAAGTATATAACTCATAGACTCATCATAAGAGAAAACAAAAAACAGTGATAGATGAACTATTTCATTTTAACAGTGATAGCTGAACATCTTCATTTCAACAGTGATAGCTAAACTTCTTCATTTCAAAAGTGATAGCTGAATCTCTTCATTTAAAATAGGAACATACTCCAAAACTTATCAATAAGCCATATTTTGTTCTCATTCAAAAACCTTATCAATTTTGCTATCCGTAAACTTTAAACAACTCACTCAAACCAGTACATGATGGTAAATTGTGTGACACATCAACCTTTATAGCAAATTGCTATCTGTAAAATATAACTTAAAACAACTCAACAAAAAAAACAACTTTGCTATCTGTAAACATAACTTTTTTCAACACATAAACAATTCAATCAAACCTTTAATACTGATTTGCAATTTTTCTTAGACATTTTTTTGTTATTAATTCATAGTTTACTCTGAACAATAAACTTATATATTTATACACAACTTCTTTTAAACTATAAAGAATTAAAAATCATAATCACAAGTCTTTAATGTTTACAATGGATAATAATTATTGAAATGCACTTATTGTAATTGACATGTTTATTAAAGCTTTTTTTGAGCTTTGAACTTATTAGGACTTTTTAATTTCTATTCATGCAATACAACTGTTTTACTTTATTTCAAACATTGATTGCATAATGAGGTTTTAAAAATCTTTAGAGATTTTTGGCTTTAGAGGCTTTAGAGATAGCAGAAATGGCTTTAGAGATAGCAGAAAGCATTTTTAAGAGATGGCTTTAGAGATAGCAGAAAGCATTTTTAACAAAACTGCAACAACAACAAAAAAAAAGAAAAGAAAAAAAAAGAAGCAGAAGAAAGCCAATACTTAAATTATTGATAATTTTCCTGTAACTTGAGGTGTTGCTATGTCGAAATCACACTTAAGTGGATGTGCAAAAATATTTATTTAACAACTAATGGTGTATACTCAGCTCTATCTCAAGGTTTAAACATGTAACTTTGTGAATATGTCCTAGATTTCATCTGTCTGTACTAACATATTTCTTCATGAAAATTCTTAAACTAAATATTTAAAAAAATATCAAAATAATATATGTACATGTTATAATTTAAGAACGCACTTGTCCTCATTTTAAAATGAACTTGTCTGAGTATTATTGTGTTACCACTACTAGAAAGATTACCATGGTTATTATCAATAGTTTATGAGCTTCTCCTACCCTTACCCAGTACTAAAATAGGAGGGTTTATATCAGTTTACTTCTACTAGGTAATTTACCTTTACCTCAGCTAAGGAGTACTTACTGCACCCTAAGTAGCAGGTTGTACTGGACTACATGTTACCAATAGCAGCTTGACCTAACCATAACTAACTGATTGATACAAATTCAAACAAAATTTAAGAATGTATTTTAATTACTCATTTAATAAATATCTTATTTTGATAAACAAAAATTTTAAACTTCTGATGAATGTGACCTGACCTGAAAATGATAATGAAAAAGTAAGTTATAGATTATCATTTGAAATGGAATCAAATGATAATCTATAACTTATACTACATTAATAAGAAAATAATAGAAAACTAAATAAAGTAAATAAAAACCTGTGGTAAGATGTAAGGACAATGATGTACCCAGAATGTATTTGAAGGATCTGATAAATCGCTGATTGGAATTCCTTCAAACTCCATATTCTGAACAAATGCTTTTTCAGCTTAAAATAAAAAAATAATAAATAATAATACTTAAATAATTAAATTTTTTTATATAAATACAATTTTTTTTTTTTTTAAATACTTTATTTTATTTAGTAAAATAAAGTCATGTCTTAAATACAAATAAAATCTAACTTTTTATTTTTTACACCAGATTTAAAATTTTTTGTGCCTAAATATGTGATTTATTTTATACTTAATTTGCCAAAGCAAAGACACCATCAGGGTTGTTTTACCATGTACACATGCCACTGTTACTACAGTCAAGAATTATTTTCCATTAATTTACTTTTTCTTCAAAATGGGGTGCATTGAATTGAGTGTTTCATTTAAGCTAAAATACTTTCTACCAAATAAAATTATAGCTACCATCGCTTTTTCCATCATCTTCATCATCATTACCCTCATTTTCTTCAAACATATAATATCCTTGAGGACTTATATGAGTACTTGCTGAAATTCGTGCTATTGTTGCACGTAGAAAATTTGCTTCATTTCCAGGAAAAGGCGGATAACAAATAACCTGATTTAAAAAAAAAAAGGAAATTGTTTGAGTTTAAAGTGAACCACCAGGTTCAATGTTGTAAAACTGAAGAAAATATATATATAAATAATAGTAATGATAGCATTTAAAAGTATCCATTATACTACTTACTTCTATTACCCATCTAGCTTTTTGTTAATTTAAAAGTTAAGAAAAAGCTAGAGAGGTATTTAAATAAATTTTCAACTCTAGCTTTATTAAAGATATTAAGTATAATAACTTCTTTTGGAAATATTTAGTATTAAAAATATAACTACTTAAACATTATATTTACAAGAAATAATTTACCTCCAAATATAGAAAAAGTTTTTTTTGGAATTATTATTAATGTTAAAACTATAACTATTTAAACATTAAATTTATAAAATATTATTTAACTCCAAATAAAGAAAAATAACTTTTTTAGAAATATTTGGTATAAAAAATTTTATTATTTACATAAACTTATAAGAAATAATTTACCTCAGCATCTAAATATCCTGTTAATAGTTTTCGAACTTGTCTAGCTACTGTAATTTGTTTAGGTGTAACTGGAGGAAGACGTTGCCATAACGAACCAGCTATAACAAAATATATATAAATAACTATAACTGTAGGAAATACACATAAAATATTTTAGGAATTCAAAAAACCAAAACTAACACATTTTTTTATTTTGAGATAAAAAGCTTAAGATTTAATTGAATGTTTGATGATGTAATAAAAAGTTTGATGATGTAATAGAATGTTTGATAATGTAATAGAAGGTTTGAGATGTAATAGAATGTTTGATCAAATAATAGAATGTTTGATGATGCAACAAAATGTTTGATAATGCAATAGAAAGTTTGATGATGTAATAGAAAGTTTGATGATGTAATTGCACCAGCAATATTTGTTCACTATAGAAGTATATCTGATAGTATATTTGTTCACTATAGAAGTATATCTGATAGTATATTTGTTCACTATAGAAGTATATCTGATAGTATATTTGTTCACTATAGAAGTATATCTGATAGTATATTTGTTCACTATAGAAGTATATCTGATAGTATATTTGTTCACTATAGAAGATGTTTGGACACTTTAAGTCTCAAGATCTTGTCAGCTGGGTGTGAATTGAATAGATATCTAGTAATGTCATAACAAACAATGATTGTTTTTTTCTTCTGTATTTATTGTTAAAGTAGGGTTATCTTTATTGGTATTAATGGTTTTGACTATCTTTGTTATTGGTATTCGTGGTTTTTGACCGTCTTTGCACACATAAATATTTAAAATAAATATATTAAAATATTAAAAATTTACTATAATTTTATTTTAAACATATAAAAATTCAATAGCAAAACTGTTCTTGACCATAAAACAATAAACTTGAACACATTACCATCATTACATACAAAGTAAACTTTTGAATTGCAACCCTGACCGTCATTTTCTTCAGGAATTTCAATTATTTTTTTTGATAATGATGGTTGATTTGTAAAATTATCTAAAAGTAAAAATTAAAAAAATATTGATAATATTTTAAACTTTAACTAAATTTAGATATAGAAGAAATACAACTTTAGAAAAACTTAAAACAATTATTATATGTTTTTTATAATAAAAATATATATTTACATATTTATTTATACTTTATATATGCATATATATATATATATATATATATATATATATATATATATATACATATATATATATATATATATATATATATATATATATATATATATATATATATATATATAGAGAGAGAGAGAGAGAGAGAGAGAGAGAAAGAATGAGAATATATCCATTTCACATAAGTATTTATTTGACATTTAATATATCAACCCTCGGAATTAGGGTCGGCATTCAGCAATGCCAACCTAACTGCCGACCTAAAAGTGTTTGAGGTTGGCATAAAATTGCCGACTTCGTTTCTATGATTTATGGTGAGACCTTTGTATCAAATTTTTTTTGCCCACCTGATGCCAACCTCTAAAAGATTAAGGTTGGCAATAATTTGCCGACCTCATTTTTCCTAATTCTGAGGGTTGTTAAATAAACGTATTTATTATCTTGAAATAGAATTGAAACTTAAAAACACTTAGAATGTGAAATAAATTTAAAAGTGATTTTAACTTTTTTATTATAATTTATTTATATAATATATTTATATTTTCAGTGAAATTTATTTTTAATTTAGATTAAAATACTAAAAAATGCCAAAATAACTTACTGTCATTTGATTCATGTAAACTTGGACGCTAAATAAATAGTATAATTATCTAATATAATATTTTATTCCATATCTTAATAAAATCATTATATATATATATATATATATATATATATACATATATATATATACATATGTTTTAAAGTCATATCTTGTTGTACGTGAATATATATATTTATATTTAAAATATAAAGCATAAAATAACAACTGTGAACAAACTAAATTTTTTTCTTTGTAATATATCGACCTGTTTTTTGAATTATATTTTGCACAGATCGTCTAAATGACAATCTGTGCAAAATATAATACAAAAAACCGTTACAAATATTACATCAAAGAAGACATTAAAAAGAAGCCATAAATGATACATAACAACGTAAATATTTAAAGTCTCTAACTGTTTATAGAAATTTTAAAGCCATTGTCACGGTTGAGAATTATAGGAGCGTGTTTTATTTCCTGGTATGTTGAGGCGTAATTAATTTCAAGTGATTCTCTAACTTTACGTTCATCATATTCTGATTTTATTGCTAGAGTTTTTAGATTTGACCAATCAAACATACCATTACATTCTCTACCGTGTTCAGTTGCACCATATGCATCCTATTTACCTTTTAAATAGTTTTTTAGATTTTCAAAACATCTCGTTAAAATTTTCTTTTTTGTTTCGCCAATGTAAATGGGATGCATCTGGGGCAACTGAACACGGAATTTATATGGTTTTTAATAATTATTTATACTTTTTTTCTTACATCATTGATTGTGCTGTTTTATTTGTTGTTTTTTAGTATTGAATTTTTCATTACAATCATCAGCGATTATGATCGTCACAACAACAAAAAATATAAAAAAGCTTGTAAAACTTCAAGTAAAAACTATGAAACTTAACATATAATAATAATAACAATATATGCTAAATGCACACACCAAATTATTTTCTTTTTAACCATGCAGTTCACTGTTTAAGTCTGACAAAGTTGTTTTATTCAGAAGTGGTAAAAAGTAAACTTTACAACCGCCACGCTATGTAGAGTTAATTTTTGAAAAAATTTCAAGACAATAATGCTATAACTTTTGCATACTAAACTAAATGATAGTATTTTATCAAGTCCATCATTAGAAGTTAAAAACATTAAATCAAAGTTTGTTAAAAATTGTTTAAGTTATCAACATTTCTTTACAGAGTCGTCGGATGGAATAGTTTAATTCAAAAAATTTAAACCCAAAAAATTTAAACCCAACCTTAAAAATTTAAACCCAACCTTAAACTAATTAACTTACAAATAATATTAAATAAGAAAAACAAACTACAATTAAATTTTTAGACTATTATTGTATTGGCTGTCATAGATATTGCCTCTATCTCAACATCATTTGAATTACTATATAATTTCACATTTCTGGAAAGTTTGAAGTCAATCCATTTTTGGTTTACTTTTAATAGCTTAAAGAGTGTCAAATGTTATGACCATCACTCTCACAGAATTGCCCATATATATAAATGGTTAGCACAGATCCTGATAAATCCAACCTAACTGACCCAAGAACGTCACTTATATGGGGTGATAGAATACACATTAAAGTACCCTTTGATGCAAATTTTGAAATCTTTTAGTTTTGTTTGCAGAAAATAATTTAATACAAAAACCACTTTATATAATTTGATAAAAATTGGTGCAAATGTAGCATAGAGCCACACCAAACTCTGGATAAAATTTCAGCCAAATTGGTTAACTGGTTAAGAATTTATGGCAGTTTTAATTTATATTTTGATTGTTTTTTGCTACTTAGACCTCAAAACATTACTGTGATATTCAGTCACTATTTTCAAAATAATGTTTATATAAGTTTTCTACAATGTAATATAGAAATTTTTTTTTCAACATAAAAACGTTTAAAAATAGTTAAAAAGCTTTTATAAAGATACCTATATTAAATATATATAGATACGATAAAATAATTGACAAATAAAATGTTTAGAGGGCCAGTCAAAGAAAAAACCTTTGGTTGGAATGTGTCATTGTAATATAAGTAATTATTTCCTTGATTTTAATCGTTTGTAATTAATAATATTTGTAGGTATGCTCATAGATTATTATCCAATATAAATTCAGGTTAAATTTTGTATAGTTTGATTTAGTAGTTTAGAAGTTGGATTTTGTGAATTGCCACAATGCCAAATCAAGCAAAGGTTCACTATGAAAATCAAAAATTTATGTGCTTGCTCTGTCTGAAAAATTTTCTAGACAACTTACTGCTTTCCAAAGCTTAATATAATGTTAAAATATGTATGGTTTTCAGGTAAAAGTAGTATTGTTTTAAACAAATTTTCTGAACTAAGTTTAATATAATGATAAAATTTGTATTGATTTTCAGGTCAGAGTAGTGCCCAGCCACTATCAACTGTTCCAAAATTGACCAATCTAACTCCTGTAAATGTACAGCACATGAGCGATTTCTTCACCTGCAGTAACTTAAAAATTACAGACAGAGATGGAGATTCTAGTACAGTTAATGTTGTTGCTCACTGCAATAATTTATCAAGTCTTGTCAACGATTTGCAATGATTTATTAGTTTCAAATATGAACCCTTGTACATTGTGTAATCCAAGTATCTTGCCATATCCGGAAACTTGCGAACACTGGGCTTAATCAAATCTAGCTTCAAGCTTTTTCAGCAATTTAGCAGGGTTGTTGCTCGTGCAAAGTTGTTTGGCAATATCATTCGAAAGCCAATCATCAGTGGGCCTGACAATGCTCTGATTTTGGAAATAATTCCGCCAATGGAATTGCGTCTCTTAAAAGAGTTGTCAATAATCTTTTCAAGATACTTAAAACTGCTTGGATAGAAGCTGTTAAGTGACCAGCTGACCTCCACATTTAACTAAGCCTGTATCATGGGGGCCAGTTTAAGGGAAATGAATGCAGGAAGTTTCTTAAAAAATATAGATGTGATTCAGCAACTTGCTGATACAAACTCAGTTCCCAACAAGGAACTGAGTTTGTATCAGCAAGTTGCTGAATCACATCTTTTAGTTCATCTAACATCAGTTAGTTGTAAAAGCTGGCTTTGGATTTATTCTTTAGCTAAATTTTGCTAAAATAATTGAAAATTTCAAAAGGTGTTACTTAATGATAACTGGTGAAAGTTATCCATAGTACAAAAAAAGATTGTTATGTTGCATAAGTTATCTGAACAGTAAGCACCTTTAGAGAACTGCAACCATAATTCAACTTATTAGATTTAATAAGTATTTTTTATAAAAAATTTGATAAGTATTTTTTATAAAAAATTTCAGTTTATAAATCCAAACTAATATTTTTTTCTGAAATACGCATACAACTATTTAAATTTAGTGATCAAATTTAACGTGCAGTCAAATGCGCATTTTTTATCAGCTGTTTTATAATAATTTCAATAGGATTTAATAAGTTTTATACTTTGGTTAGAAATAAATTAAAAGCTCATTTTCAATAAATCGAGATTTACTTAGTTGGTGATTTTTAAAGCCTGTTTACACTGGAAAATTTTGTTTTATCAGAGACTGTAATAAATATTTTTTTAATTTTTAAGGCAGATTTTCAGGGTTTTTTTCTATTCTTTTTTTGTTGTTGTTGATAGCAATTAAAAATTAATAAACGGGGGGAGGGGGTCTAAATAAGCTTGGGGTGGGTGGGAAAATTTCCTAAAATTAATAAACATCTCCCCCTCCTTGTATTAGGAACTCGAGAGTAGGGTTTATATAGTCACTTGTTCACTTCATTTTGAAAGCCAATGTATTTAAGAAGGTTTCAAAGGCAATTAGAAATTTTTTAACAGAATGTTTTTTTTTTTTTTTGTTTTAATGACAGATAGTCCTTTTGCCAGGCTTTGCACTTTTTTTAGCCCTTGTTTTTGCTATATATATATATATATATATATATATATATATATATATATATATATATATATATATATATATATATATATATATATAAAATATGAATGATTGTGAATATTCTGATGTAATTATAGATAAAGCATTCCATAACGCAAAACTACAAGGACCGGCGTCACAAAAGAAGTCTAAAGAAATATTTCCTTTAGTGACAACATTCTATAGTAATCTCAATTGTCGACCTTTAACAACAGAAACTAACCTTTTACTCAAAGTATCTCAGAATGAAAGAGTCAAAAATGTTTTTCTAATATTCATCCGGTATTAGCTTTTAAACAACCTCCTAACTTATTAAGAAGACTTACTTCTTCAAAATTTGAAGCAAATAATAAGAAAACTGGCATATTTAAATGCAAAGAGATTCGATGTAAAATATGCAAACTCTACCTTCAAGAAGTAGATGAGTTTGAAACTTCTAATGGTACTATCTGGAAAATAAAAAGTCACATCACATGCTACAGCAAAAATGTAATTTATTATCTTAAATGTTTGGCATGCAAAAAACAAGCCACATATACTGGCAAAACTAATAATTTAAGATTAAGAATAAATGGACATATTTCTAGTTGCAGAACTGGCCTATCAACTAATAGATTTGACAACCACGTTTATACCTGTCAACGCTCCCACCAAAATGTAATTGAACCTTTTTTTCAACTTTTTGTTTTCCTTGAGCTTAACAATGAAAGTTTTTTGTTATCATACGAACAGCATCTGCACAAACAAAAACATGATACTTTTAATTGATACTTCCTGTGTATTATTAGAATTGAATTTATCAAAATAGTTACTCATAGCAACAATATGCAATTAAATTTATTTTGTATACAAAAATTTTGCTATAATACTATAACTGCACTACTGATGATTTTTTGAAAGGCCTCTAGTGCTTAAAGTTTATTTAATTAATTATATAAAAATACTTTGTATTAGTGTATTTTTTGGAAAAATAAAAAAAAATATTTTTAGTAATAAATATTTTGAGAAAAAAAGATTTACTTTTGTTTACTGGCTTGACTATCTTTTGCTTTATTTATATATATATATATATATATATATATATATATATATATATATATATATATATATATATATATATATATATATATATATATATATATCATATATATATATATATATATATATATATATATATATATATATATATATATATATATATATATATATACATATATATATACATATACATATACATATACAAATATATATATATATATATATATATATATATATATATATATATATATATATATATATGTATATGTATATATATATATATATATATATATATATATATATATATATATATATATATATATATATATATATATATATATATATAAAATATATATATATATATATATTTACTTGACAATTAGCAAACCTCTTTACTTTGATCTTCATTGGTTTTTTCTTTTTCATAAAGTTCAACTTCAGCAACAATATAGTTTTTATGAATGCCAAAAATTTTACCTTCATTAAAATTTCTTTTTTTTAAAAAAAATGAAATAATTTATGTACTAAATAAACAACTATATATATTTAGTATTAAATAAATTTTTCCTGATTTTAACTCATAACTATATAGTATATAGCATATTGTAAATATATAGTGTTAAATTTTACCCATAATCATATAATAGGCTGTTTCATAATATGATGCAAATATTTACCCCAAAATCTGCATGATTTTAGCTTGTATGTATTAATCAGTTGTCTAAGTGCTAAAAAAATAAGAAAAGTTTCTTCTTTTCCTAAACCAACACCAGCTTGCTCAAAATAATATGCATTCTCCATGATATCAGCTAGAACACAGTGGTCTTGATTATTTTGTTTGACAATTTTTTCTTGAAACTAAAATATTTTTTGCATAACAAATTAAAAATACTCATGTATCAAATTTTTAAAGTAAAATAATAAACAAGAAAAAAATCTTTTTACATTTAATAGACCTTTTTGCAAATTAGCATAAGCCACTTTTGATGTAACTTTCTGTTTATCCTGTAAAACCTTTAACTGTTTTAAATTTATACCAAACCAAATACTACAATATATGTAACACTACTATTACAGTCTTGAAAAAAAGTTTAAGACCACTTGCAAAAAACTGAAAAATTAATGAAAAAATTATTACAGTACAAAAAAATTGGTTCAAAAATAAATGCATTAAAATAATGTCCACAGCAGCTAAAATCAAAAGTAGCACCAAGTTATAGCACCAAGTTATAGAATTTTATTTTAGCCACCAAAGTATTGCATTTATACAAGGTGGTCTTAAACCTTTTTCCAAGACTGTATTATTGATATTATTATTATTGTTATTATTGTTATTATTATCATTATTATTATTATTATTTTTATTATTATTATTATTATTATTATTATTATTATTATTATTATTATTATTATTATTATTATTATTATTATTATTATTATTACTATTATTATTACAAATATTATAAGATTAATTGTAGTTTAAATAATAACTATTTTCAACTATTTCATGTTAACATTTATATGCACAAAAGAAAGACCAAATAATCAATTTTAGAAGATAAAACCTGTAGACAATCTCGTTCCATTTGAAATCTTTTCCTTTTTAAATTCCAGCTGCATTCTTCTAATAGATCTACAATATTAGTTTTGCAGTAAATTTTATAATTGTTATGTAATATTCAATAAGTTTTATATTATATGTTATATATATATATATATATATATATATATATATATATATATATATATATATATATATATATATATATATATATATATATATATATATATATATAAAAGTTTCTGGTCACTTAAAGTTTTAATAGTTTTTACCTTGTAATAATTAATATTAAATTTCAAAATTATTTGTAAGCCATAAAATAATTCAATTAAATTGTGCTAATGTGTTTTTAATATTGTAATGCAAAATCTATGTTTTATTGTATTTGTATTAAAAACATGCTCGAACATATTTAGTAAAAAATTTGTAAATAAAATTTAACTGATCTTTTGTCATCAAAGTATAATTTTGTTGAATTTAATATAATATATTAAATTAATTTTTTTTTTTTTTAATTATCTTCGCTTTCAACAAGGCTGCAAGCAACCACTAATTAGAGTTAGAAGTTACTGGAAGAGAAAAGATGAAGACTGTAGAGCAAGATAACGATTGACAGACGACTTAAAAGATTGCTAATTATATGAATCAGGAAAGCAAGATGAAGGAAGCGAATTCCAAAGAACTGATGTTCGAGGAAAAAAACTAGACAAATAAGAGTTTTTGGAGCACTTAGGAACAGTAACAGAAAAAGGATGAGACTTGATTTAATGACGAGTAACACGAGAATAAATTTTAGTAGATGGCACAAGAGACGCTAGCTCCTTCGAGCAGTGCCCATTATAGTATTTGTAGAAAAGAGAAAGAGAAGCAATATTACGACAATGTGACAGAGGTTGAAGGTTGGCTGCAAGAGCAGGTCCAGCTATGTTTACAATGCCTTTTTGCACCTTGTCTAAAAGATAAAAGGGCGCCATTAGAAGATCCGCCCCAGATATGGCAACAGTATTCCATACAAGGCCGGATTTGAGATTTATAGAGATAGAGAATAGAATCCAGAGTAAGAAAGTGACAAGCTCGATAAAGAGAAGCAACATTAGCAGATGCTAATTTTGCAACGGATTTGATATAAGGTTTCCAAGAAAGATCAGAAGTAAGAGTTAATCCTAGAAGATGAAGGGTAGGAGACTCATCGAGTACATTACCGTTCATATATATAGGAAGGTCTAAATTACTGCGATAACGATTAGCTGAAAAAAATTGAGTTTTATCTGAATTAAAGTTCACCAGCCACTGTGAGCCCCATGCTGTAGCAGAAGTGAGATCCTTTTCAAGCTCAGATGCCCCCTGCAAGCAATCAGAGGGAGTTGGCTTTTTATCGTGACAAGAATAAATCATAGTATCATCAGCGAACAATGCCACCTTAGATGTGAGAATATCTGGAAGATTGTTTATGTAAATTAAAAAGAGCATAGGGCCAAGGATTGAGCCTTGGGGAACCCCTGAGGTTACAGAATAAGAAGAAGAGTGCTGTCCATCAAGGACAACTTTTATACTACGATTGGAAAGAAAGGATTCAATAATCTTTCCAGATACACCATAAGAAGAAAGCTTATGGAGAAGACCAGCATGCCAAACTTTGTCAAACGATTTAGAAATGTCAAGAGCAATGGCCTTAACCTCTCCACCTTTATCTAATGCGCGATAAAACCTATAGATTATTACTGTTAGCAAATCAGCTGTAGAACGAGAAGATCGAAATACATATTGATGATCAGAAAGTAGGTTATGAGATTCGAGATTAAGTGTTTGTTAATCAAAGATTCAAAAACCTTGCTTATGGTAAGAAGAAGACTAATGGGACGGTAGTTAGACGAATCAGATCGCTCTCCAGAATTTTTAAAAATAGGGATAACAGATGCTGCTTTCCAGCAGGCTGGAAAACAAGACTCTGATAAGTACTTGTATAATAGTTTTGAAAGGATAGACAACAACTCCGGAGAACACTTCTGCAAGACTATAACAGGTATGTTGTCAGGGTTGCAAGCTGTAGAAGAGTCTAAGTGGGAAATCACTTTAGATACAGAAGCTGGAGTGATACGAATGTCGAGCAATGGATCAACCTGTTTGACGGCTATATCAGGTAGAATGCAACTAGTGGCATCAAGAGATGATATTGATGAAAAGTTCTTGGCAAACAATTCAGCTTTGTCTTTAGGTGATGTGACAAAGTCTGAACCATACAAAAGAGGTGGAATTACAGACTTGCCCTTATTATTGATACTATTAAAGATTCTCCAGAAGTCACGAGAGCCTAATTTTTGTGATGAAATACGAGATTTCATGATCTGAGAATAGCGGGCTTTGGCGTTAGACAAAACCTTTTTACAATGGTTCCTAGAAGTAATAAACAGACGTCTGTTTTCTGGAGAATTGTTTTGCTGATAGATATGGAAGTAATGGTTTCGATTAGCAATTGCAGCAGTACAATGTGAGAAAAACCATGGAGATGACTGAGGCTTGACCTGGAATCGTCGAGAGGGAATAAAGGATTCCATGCCACCCTGAATCCACG